GAATTCTGGGAGTTGAAGTCTACACATCTTCAAGTCACCAAGGTTGAGGAATCCTGATGTATATGACAAGTTTGGGCATTTTTCTTGCCAATATGCATCTCTCTGTATTTGCATCTTAGAATGGTTGGAGCACATGGTAACTTGTGCAGTTCAGTTCTTAAATAAGAGATGTAAAATGAACAATCGATTTGTGGATTGAAAGAGATTTCTCAATTGCTTGATTAGGAGAAAAATTATGGATAAAGTAGAATAATCAACTTTCCGAGGAAAGAATCACATTTTATCCAATTTGGACAGATTATAATCATTATGTTAATACCAACTGGTGTAATTTTTTTTACTCTTATGAAACATGGAAATTATGAACCCCTTTTGGACTTTTTTGCCTTTTCTTTTCATAGATTCATACTATTATTTTGTATTACTCCTCGTAGCATTGTCTATTCTTTGCTTAGCTCTTTTTCTGTTTGTGTGAACTACTGTTCAATCAATACATTAAAAGAGAGAGAGAAAGAGAGACAGACAGATGTTGAGGGTAAGGTTGGTTGGAAGCAAAACTGTGCCCTCCATGTGGATCCAGAAGTCTTGCCATGTATTTGGGAGGTGCAGAGCTCAATTGGTGTTCAGTGACTTCACCTGACAAAGGTCCTCCTTACAGTAACTCAACATCAGTTAAGCCGGGTCAGTAAAAAGTCTCCTTTAAGGCACATTTGACTCCTGGTGACTTCATGAACACATCTTGGTTATATGCTTGGCAATGATTATGGCAGTGATTAGCCATTGCCTCCTCCCGGGATAATTTTCAACTTCTCAGTTTAACCCACAGCCCTGGGGACTTCCTAGTGGTCTCCTATACAAGTGGCAACCAGGTTTGATGTGTCTGTTTTGTTTAACTCAGTCAAGGTTGGCTAGGTTCTGCCACTTGCCGAGGCAATCCTTTAAAAATGCAGTTAATTTAGAATAGTCTTTTCTACTATCCACCTGCTTCCAATTTTTCCTTGACGAATTTGATTGCTCGGTTTTTTTGTTGTGTTGGCCTTCGGTGCTGTAGTGGAAGAGAAGGCAGCCCCAGAGCTTCCTTGCTGGAATATGAGAGTCAACAGCTTGCCTGAACGCAATAGGTTAAGTTAACACCATGAGTTAGGGAAACCACCAGCTGAAGCATTCACACAATACGCTAACTTGATTAGCGTTAAGCTTGATGAGGGGTTTTTGGGCACGTGTGGTTTAGGGTGTTGAGGGAATGCCATCCATTTAGATAGAGTAGAGTTCATTGTATCGTGTGACTCTGAAACTGCGCACAATGACCAGATTAAATTTGTTGCATAGACACAGCCTGCGTGTTGTTCCATTTGGGATATCGGACATACATTTTTATTTTTCACTGTAGTTCGTTTATTTGGCTCTGAAACCTCTCTCTTAAAATGAAAATGAAATAACCAGCATGTGTGTTTAGGGATCCTCTTGAACTGGGAAGCTTGGCCCAACTATTGGGGGTTGGAGTGGGAGACCTCCAAGGTGCCTTGCAACCCTAGGATTCTAGGATTGCCTGTCAAACAAGGACTTCAAATGATAATACATATACAATATATTATAATTTTATATGAGGGTTGTCTGAGGGACTGCCTCTCCCCGATTACTTTTGCCCATCCCATCAGATCTGGCAAGAGAGACACGCTACAGGTCCCATCAGTCAGGGAGCTACACTCGGCAGACCCAAGGAGATGGGCCTTCTCTGCCGCGTTCCTGCGTTATGGAACATTTTCCCCTCAGAAGTGAGGCCATCTCCATCCCTCCTTATTTTCTGGAAGTCCCTCAAGACCTGGCTATGTCATCCGACCTGGAAATCTCAGGGGACCGGTGAAATCTTGAGGTGGTGCCCTTGCTGATCTCATCACTTGTGTGTTTTATGCTTTTTTTAAAAAAACTTTTTAATTTGACTGCTTTTGACACGTTTATTGTTTTTATATTTTTGCTGTACACCACCCAGAGTCGCTTCTTGTGAGATGGGCGGCCATGTAAGTTTGATAAATAAAATAAAAGAAAGAAAGCAAAAAAGAAATTCTCTGGGGTTAAAATGTAACTTCAAGTCCCCTCTGAGCAATGGAGGTTCCTTGGGGGACCTTGGGCTAGTCACTCTCTCTTGACCCAAAGCCGGTGGTGAAGGTGCTGGACTAGGGTCAGGGAAACACAGGTTCTAGTTCACTCACAGCCATGGAAATGTATTGGGTGAGTTTAAAATCTCTGCCCAGTTTAATCAATGGATTTAAAATATGCACACACTAGATCAGGTAGCCTACAGATTACCATACATACCTCCTTATTTCTGACTTCCATCCAAAACATACCACCAAATCTATTGTCCATTTTACGATTGCATTTGTTCTCACTCACTACGCAGAGATGCTCAACTGACGGAATTAAAGTAGGCATTTGGGAGGCTAAACGTCCCACCCAGCGAGATCAGTACACAACTCAGTGGGCACTTTGATGGTAGACCTATACTTGCATGCAGACAACCACCCAACGGAAGCAGATGCTCACAAGCAACAAGAAACAACAGGACAATGATATTAACATGGGAACCAGGACATACAGTGAGCCCATTTATCCTCAGATTTACACCAAAAGCACCATCACGGACCCCAACAATTTCACACACAAAGCTAGAGGTGCCTTCAGATGCTTTTCTTCTAATGTGATAGCAATGCCCCTCTGGATTCTACGTAGGACAAAACCGTCCAGACTTTGTGCAAAATAATTAATGGATGAGTTTGATATCAGGACTTAAAACAAAGTAAGAGCTTTTAACCTCTCAGGACACTCACAGATCTCAAAGTCACAATTTTGGATCAAAAGGAGTATGCCAGTGCAGCTGAGCGTGAGACAGCTGAATATACATACATCAATATGTTTAAGGCTATTTCAGAAGGTCTGAACAAACACATATCAATTGTTCATTGGCAAGATACTTGTAATCTGTCCACCTTGAACTTTTATCTTCTTAACCTCCCCCTTCTTTTTCCTCCCACGGCTTCACCCCTACGTATGTAAATCCTATCATCAGTTAAGTTGCTCTATGCATCTGATGAAGTGAGCTGCAGCTTGCAAAAGCTTATGCCTTATAATAACATTTGTTAGTCTTAAAAAGTGCTACCAGACCCCTTCTGATTCTTCTCCAATCTGGTATCTCCAGCCTGGTATCTATAGAGTTGAACTGTAACTCCCATAGTTCTCAGCCAGAAGGAACATCAGCACTGCTGGCCAAAAATTATAAGGTTCATAGTCATATTTCATATTTGTATTTTATATTTGTAGACTGCAGAGTTGGAGAAGGTTTTCTAGATCTCATATGTCCTTACTGGGTCTTGTAGGGACAGAATCTCCACATTCAGAGATAGTCTATCTTCTTCACAGCAGTGAGAGAAGATGCTGACTCAGGGCTTCCAAGAATTATCTGGCTGGCCAAGAGTGAGAAAAATAAAAGTTTAATTTGACAGACCTTTATATGGTTCAGTGTTTGTGATAACTGTAAAAGAACATTGGGTTCTTTTACATTTAGCCATTGTGCATATCTCATAAGTTCAAATGCTTTTTCTCTTTCCGTTTTTTTTTGGATAGGTAGCTGTCACAGCACGAGAAGATGTCCCCTCCTTTGGTCCTTCACTGCCAAGCCCACCTGTATTTCAAAAAGTAAGACCCAACCCTAAGCCTAAAACATGGTTTGTTTGGTTTTTGTGGGAAGTAATT